CCTCTGATGCTGCTTGGCCTGCTGTGTTCATCCAGCTCTGCACCTTGTTATCTCAGCAATAAACCTGAGACAGTGGCCGGGCCCTTGCACAGTGGGACACGTGGCTTTACAACCTTCAGCAGGCCCGCTGAACTCAAACAGCAGGTGACAGGGAAGAATGCCAAGCAGGCAGCCAGCAACTAAATTTGGCTCCGTTACCACCACCCCCCCCCCCCTCCTCCTCTCATCCCCCCCCCCAATCCATTCCCCAGTGTGACTGCTGCCCCCTGGTGAGCTGGAGCTGCTTTTGCTCTCAATAAACTGAAAAATACATGACAAGGCAAGGCTGGGAAAGTAAGACGCGCATTCATGTAGCACCTTCTGTGACTTCAAGGACATCCTCATGTGAATACTTATGACTCTTGGGCGTTGCGGAAATTCTGGGACTCTCTCTCGCAACAAGCAATGGAATTTGGGCGCCAATGGAAAATCTCAAGACTGAGACTGAGACATTATTGAGGGACGTGGGGCCGGGACAGGTAATTGGTACTTACCTGATACAAATTGGCTGCAATCCAAGTGAGCAACTGAAGTAGCTACCTGGCCTGCCTGTGCTCCCCGGGCAGCCACTTTTCACACAGCAAGATCCCACACAAAGCCATGAATAAATGACCACGTCTTCTGTCTTAATGAAAGGTTGTCAACAAATCATACACTTTCCTTTCCTCGCTGCACGGACACTTTCTGATCTATTTCGGAAAGCCAGTATTTTCTGTTAACCCAGATTCACAGCCCCTGTAGATTCTGGTTCCTTATCTCTTTGCTGATGTTGGTTAAGGGATAAATTTTAGCCAGGAAACCAAAGACAACGTTGCTGCTTTTTGAAACAATTCCAGGGTAAACAGGCTGTCAGTTTAAAAGCTCAACAGAAAGATGGCACTGTGAAGGCTTTGGAGAGGGTGCAGAAGAGGTTTACCAGGATGCTGCCTGGATTAGAGTATGGACTAGGAGAGGCCAGAAAAACTCGGGTTTTCCTCTCTGGAGAAGTCTATAAAATTATGAGATGCCTAGACTGGGTTGACAGTCAGAATCTTGAAATGTCTAAAATTAGGGGGCAGGTATTTAAGGCAAAAAGGGGAAAGTTCAAAGGATAGGGGCAAGTTTATTACACAGAGTGTGGTAGGAGTGTGGAACACGCTGCCAGGGGTGGTGGTGGAGGCAGATACAATAGGGACGGTTTAAGGGGCTTTTAGACAAACACATGATTATGCAAGGAATGGAAGGATATGGACCAAAAGCAGGCTCAATGGATTAGTATTATTTGGCGACATGTTTGGTGCAACATTGTGAACTGAAGGCCCCATTCCTGTGCTGTACTGTTCTATGTTCTAGGCTGACAATGCAGCACTCCCTCAGTATGGCACTGAAGGCTGACAATAAGTTGGGGTAGGAGAGGTATTGTACTCCAGTCTGAAATACTGCCTTTGAGAGAGGTGGAAGGCCAAGGCAAAAAGCTGGTGCTTAGCAGTGTCTTTCACTGGCCCTGGATAATGGGAAGGAGTGAGTAGGTACAGTCGATTATTTAAAAAACCAGCAGTTGGTAAACAATACAGCTGTTGTATACACCACAACTGAGGAAACTGTGGTAAGGTGAGTGATGGAGCCAGGAAGGAAGAGAAGAGGAAGAGCCAAGAAAGGCAGAAAAACAGTGGTGAGAGATTGAAACGCAGCTAAATTGGAAGAGGAATGGGACTTGACAAGAGGATAAACTGAAAGGTAATCAACTAGCATTGCTGATGACCCCAAGGGGGAGAAGCCGAGTGAGAAAGTCTAGCCTTTGCTTCTTAGAAGGTCACAGAGTGAAAGCTACGAACATGTTTTTCGCAACGTGCTGTCAAGTCTATCTACAATAGCAACAACAACTTACATTTGTGTAGCAGCTTGGATGAAGTGATCCCGAGGACCATTAGGACCATTGGAAACCACAGAGAGCTGTGATGACAGCCCAGTCAATCACACAAGCCAACCTTCCATCCACTGACTTCATCTACGCTTCTCGCTGCCTTGGGCAGACAGCCAAAATCATCAAAGACCCCTCCTACCCCAGTTAAAATCACTTCCAACCTCTTCTGTCAGACAGAAGATACAAAAGTTGAAACACATGCACCAACAGATTTATGAACAGCTTCTTCCCCACTGTCATCAGACTTCTGAATGGATCTCTCATATTTTAAACTTAAATGTTGATCTCGCTCTCTGTGCAACTTCTCTGCAGCTGTAACATTGTATTCCTCACTCTGTTCTATTACCCTAATGCAGTTTGTATGGTATGATCTGCCTGTACTGCACGCAAAACAAAACATTTCACTGTACCTAGGTACAAGCGACAATTATAAATCAAATCAAATCAAATCAAATCAAATCAAGGTACCTCACAGACACATGATCAGTTTGCTGGCGAACCACATAAGGATAATTGATCAAGCGCTTGGACAAAATGTTGAGTTTTGAGGAGCAACTTGAAGTTTAAAAGAGACTGTGGTAGGTGGGGAGGCCAAGAAGTTTAGGAAGCGAATTCCAGAGGTTAGAACCAAGGAAACTAAAGGCATGGCTGCTTACGGTGGAGCGAAGGAGCATTACGGAGAAATGAGGGGTTGTTAGGGATGCACACGAGGCCAGAATTGGAGGATAGTTAGATGACTGAAGGAGATTACAGAGATTCTGAGGGCAATGGAGACATGGAAAGATTTGAAAACAAGAGTGAACCGTTTTTAACAGAAACAGAGATTGCTGGAAAAGCTCAGCAGGTCTGGCAGCATCTGTGAATAGAAATCAGAGTTAACATTTTGGGTCCAGTGACCCTTCCTTAGAACAGGGATCTGAAAGGTTAACTCTGATTTCTCTTCACAGATGCCGCCAGACTTGCTGAACTTTTCCAGCAATCTCTATTTCTGCTTCTGATTTACAGTATCCGCAGTTCTTTCGGTTTTTAATGAACATTTTTAAGATCAGCCTATGCTGCCTTGGGTTAATGTAGTGGATTGGAGATGCAAGATTCATTAGCAATGTATCGGAATAGGGTTTTAGTACTTTCTCAATTGCACAGACAAGCAATGGATCCCGCAAATAAACTGCACAAGCGTAGACTCACCAATATCATTCGCTAGAGAAATTGGGTCAGGTGTACCCAGAGTGGCTTCAAATTCCTCCTGTAGACGATAAGCCCTCTGAAGTAAACACTCCAGTTTGTGGATAAATTCTGCACTGATTATGTCCTATTGGAGGCAAAAAGAGACGGATTAATTACACAGAGAACACATCAGTTATTCCAGAATTCTGAATGTTCCTCATCAGTCAGATTATTTACTGGCCCTTAACTGAGGATTCAATGCCCACTCCAGAATCTTGAGGTCATAGTCTGAGTTGACCGTGTGGTGCGGTACTGCAGAACCCTGCACTGTTGGAGGTGATATATTAAACACAGGCGTTCCTGACCTCTGAAAAGAACACAGGAGATCCTACAACACTACTATGAAGAACACAAGTGGAGTTCTCCTCAGTATGCTGTGTAATATTTATAATTCACATCGGGGATAAAAGAGTAGGCTGTGGAATGAGCTTCATGATGCTTTGTATACTACCCACCATCACTGCAAATGAACCAGCTTTATTTTTTAGCTTATGACCCATTGTTATGAACTCCCTTCAACAAGGAAATAGTTTGCTTTGATCTACTCTATCAGTCCTTTATCATCTTAAACATCCAATTAGCTAATCCATATTTTGTGCAAACCAACATCTTTATTTAGACCATTTTGCCCCAGACATTCACATCTCCTCCAAGTTCAATTAAACTCTTCCTGAGGTGTGGTGTATGATTACTTTTGATTCAGTTTAATCAGATGTAACCATTGCAAGCAAAACTTGGTACTACAGAGATAAAGGCTGATGTTTTCTTTATTCTTTCATGGGATGTGTGTATCTCTGGCACGGCTAGCTGTTGTTATCCATTCCTAGTTACCATTAAAACAATTGACTTTCTCGCCAGTTCATAGTCAAATGTGTTACTGTGGATGGGCCTGGAATCACATGTAGACCAGACCAGGTAGGGATGTCACATTTTCTCCCCTAAAGGACATTAGTGAAACAGATAGGCTTTTAGAGCAATTGGCTGTGGTCATATGGTTACCAACAGACAAGCTTTTAATTCAGGTTTTTATAAAATACATATTTCATTGTCTGCCCTACTGGGATCTGAACTCAATGTCCCTGAACATTAGCATGGGGTTCTGGCATTCTAGATTACTAGGCAAACGGCATTACCCCTACACAATTACCTCATACATTACAACATTCATTTTTAGAAACATTTCATTGGCCCTAAAACAATAGGGATGACACAAGATCACGAGAAGTACTCTACAAATGCAAAGACTTTTCTTTATCCTTTATGAAAGTGTCCCTTGTTCCTCTTTCATAGGTCATGGTCCTTGTGAGGTTAGCGTAATGCATACTTGAGATATAATCTTAGTTCAGCGTTAAATTAATTTACTCTGATATTCAAGTATAGATCCTGATCAGCCTTGCTGACAACTGATTCAAACAAGAAATGGTAATTGTATCTGAGTGCTCTCTCCTACCATTGTTAATGGGCTCCAAGCATTCATTCTTCCTGTTCCAGACAAGCATTGTCTTTCATTTATCCACATTAAAATCCATTAACTCTCCACACGGCTGCAAGTCATAAGTAAATATTCTAATACTGGAAGTCCAATGTTCAATTATTTACAGAAAGTGAAAACATGAGCTATTGAATTAAAATGTATTAGTTCATGGGATGCGAGCATCACTTGCTAAGTCCCTAACAGCCCTTGAGAAGGTGGTGGTGAGCTGTCTTCTTAAACTGCTACAGTCCGTGTGGTGTTGGTACACCTACAGAAGAGAGTTCCAGGATTTTGACCCAGTAACAGTGAAAAAGTGACCTATTTTTCTCGGTCAGGATGATACCAGGAGAGCAGTCCCAACTTCTTCAATCTGTTCTCATAGCTGAAGTTTCTCATACCCGGAACCATTCTAGTGAATCTAGAGAAATTGGGTCAGGTGTACCCAGAGTGGCTTCAAATTCCACTTTGGGAGCTTGCTGTGCCCAATTAGTCTGCTGCATTTCAACAGTGACTGCACTTGAAAACATTTTTTTTTTACTCACTCATGGGGTGAGGGCATCACTGGTTAGGCCAGCATTTATTGCCCATCCCTAATTGCCCAGAGGGCAGTTAAGAATCAACAACGTTGCTGTGGGTCTGGAGTCACATGTAGATCAGACCAGCTAAGGATGGCAGTTTCCTTCCCTAAAGGACATTAGCGAACCTGATGGGTTTTTCCATAAATCGACAATGGTTACAAGGTCATCATTAGATTCTTAATTCTAGATTTCTTTTTTATTGAATTCAAATTCCACCATCTGCCAGAGTGGAATTTGAACCCAGGTCCCCAGAGCATTCGGGATTAATTTTCTATCAATAACACCACTTAGCCATTGGCTACCCCACCATACCATACCATATCATCTTATTTACTATATTAAGGAATAACAAGGTTGTGAAAGGCGTGACATAAATCCAAACCCTTTCATTATGTTTTCTTGCTCCAATGTGTTGAGTAACCCTGGAGTGCATGGTATTGCATGTTTACGTTTGGTGTTGTCCTCTCTTTGCTGGGTCTTACCTCTACTGTTTCCTCCGCTATTGCATCTCCTGCCCCCAGTTTAACAGCGGTGCAGTTTGCCTCATCCTCCACCTGCCTGCTGCGGAAAGACAAAGCTTGCTCCCATCGCTGAAGAGCTTCCTCAAACAGCTCCATCCCTGCACAGGGGTGAGAGTCAGAGGGAACAACAAAACCTTGGTTACCAGCACCAATCATGGAGAGACTTCACATTCTTAAAACAGCCACAATGATTGAGGAAAGAACACATCCTTTGATGTTACGAAGGGCTATGCTCATGACTGCCCTCTCAAGTGGGTGTAAAAAAAGCCACGGTGCTATATAAAGATAATGTCCTTTTTCTTTCTTTATTCATTCACGGGATAAGGGTGTTTCTGGCTAGGCAGCATTTATTGCCCCATCCCTAATTGCCCAGAGAGCTGTTAAGGGTCAACCACATTGCTGTGGGTCTGGAGTCACATGTAGGCCAGACCAGGTAAGGATGGCAGTTTCCTTCCCTAAGGGACATTAGTGAATCAGATGGGTTTTTCCAACAATCAACAACGGATTCATGGTCATCATTAGATTCTTAATTCCAGATTTTTATTGAATTCAAATTTCACCATCTGCCATGGTGGGATTCGAACCCGGGTGTCCAGAACATGATCTGGGTCTCTGGATGAGACCATAAGTCAATAAGACATAGAAGCAGAAATTGGGCCATTCGGCCCATCGAGTCTGCTCGATGGCTGGTAAGTTCCTCAACCCCTTTCTCCTGTTCTCTCCCCGTAACCCTTGATCCCCTTGATAATCAAGAACCTATCTATCTCAGTCTTAAACAGATGAACAGTCCAGTGAAAATACCACTAGGCCATCGTTTCCCCACCCTTCCCTTGGTGTCATAGGTCATTTCTATTCTTCAAACTAACAGCAGATGACTGCAGTTGCTAGCAAACTGCCATTCGTAGAAGCTCAGCAGCGTCTGATAGCATCTGTGAAGATAGAAACAGAGTTAACACTTCAAGTCCCAATAAGACTCTTCTTCCGAACTGAAGGTTGCTGAACTGTGTTCTGAAGAAGAGTCACACCAGCCTCGAAACTGATCCACAGATGTTGCCAGACCTGCTGAGTTTCTCCAGCATTCCCTCTGTCTGTTGCAGTTTTCCAGCATCCGCAATAGTCTGCTTTTTTATCGGTGGGATCTTGCTGTGCACAAACTGACCGCAAGCCTATGTTGTAACTGTGAGGGCACATTATTGGCTGTGAGGGCATTCCGGACACTGGGATGCAGGGTGCTACATCATTGCGAATCTTAGCCAGGCTCACTGGATAAATACCTGGGATAAGAAGTTCAGTATAGAAGGCCACTTTTGGAATATTGCGTGCAATTCTGGTCTCCCTGCTATAGGAAAGATGTTGTGAAACTTGAAAGAGTCCAGAAAAGGTTTACAAGGATGTTGGCAGGGTTGAAGGGTTTGAGCTACAGGGAGAGGCTGAATAGACTGGGGCTATTTTCCCTGGAGTGTCAGAGGCTGAGGGGTGACCTTATAAAAGTTTATAAAATCATCAGGGGCATACATATGTCAAGGTCTTTTCCCCAGGGTAGGGAAGTCCAAAACTAGAGGGCATAAGTTTAAGGTGAGAGGGGAAAGATTTAAAAGAGACCTAAGGGGCAACTTTTTCATGCAGAAGGTGGTGCGTGTATGGAATGAGCTGCCAGAGGAAGTGGTGGAGGCTGGTACAATTACAACATTTAAAAGGCATCTGGATTGATACGTAAGTAGGAAGAGTTCAGAGGATATAGACCAAATGCTGGCAAATGGGACTAGATTAATTTAGGATATCTGGTTGGCATGGATGTGTTGGACCAAAGTTCTGTTTCCGTGCTGTACGTCTCTATGACCCCATGACTCTATTGGGCCTGCAGAAGAAAAAGGAGAGATATCATTGAAATTTTTTGACAAGTCAATACTGGGAAGCTGTGTCCCCCAGATGGGGAATCTGGATCATGGTGAGGCACAGTCTCAGGTTAAGGGGACAGTTATTTCAGACTGAGATGAGGGGGCACATGCCCATTTAGTGGGTGGTGAACCTTTTGGAATTCTTGATCCTAGAGGGATGTAGGTGATCCATCACTGAAGAGACGTTTAAGGCCAGGACTGACAGATCCTTGTTTTCTCAAGGAAAGTGAATTTGAGGTAGACAATCAGCCACGATCGCATCGAATGGGGTCAAATGGCCTGCTCCTATCTCCTGTGCCTATTATTTTCTTTGTTTACATCACTAAGCCTTCCCTTTCAGACCAGTTATAGTTCTCCACTTTGTTCACCCATCACATACCCATCAGGTACAGGTTTTCAGGGGTAGTCACTGGCACACTGACCAGGTTAACTTCACTGTCTTCAGCAACCTTGTCCCACAGGTTAGTGGCGGCACACACACAGCTGTGGGAGGAGTTTGCACTCCGAGCCTGGGTATGGAAACAAGCACACACAACAAGTTAAATCGCTTTCCAGATCTGTATGAACTTTAAAAAAGAACCTAACTCCCCAGTTAGCAAGAAAACATGCCAATAGCCATTCATCTCCCTGCTGTTTGGGGCACACTCAAATTGGTGTTCTTGCAAGTTCTTAGAATCCCTACAGCGCAGAAGCAGGCCTTTCAACCCATCAGGTCTGCACTACCCCTCCGAAGAGCATCCCAACCAGACCAATAGCCCTCCAACCTTATTCCCTGTAACCCTGCATTTCCCATGGCTAATCCACACAGCCTGCACATCCCTGAACACTACGGGCAATTCAGCATAACAGTCCACCTAATCCACTGCGGGAGGAAACCGGAGCACCTGGAGAAAACCCACACAGACACAGAGGGAACGTGCAAACTCCACACAGGCAGTCACCCAAGGCTGGAATCGAACCGGAGTCCCTGGTGCTGTGAAGTGGCTGTGCTAACGACTGAGCCACCATGCCACCCTAAATTTGGACTTTTGCGAATTGTCCTGATGAGTGCAAAACAAAAAGCTTCAAGAAAGTGTGTCAACCTGTTGACTGCAAAGAGTTTCGTGATGCCCTCTGGATGTAAAAGATGCAATGGAAAGCTAACAGTGCCTCACAATCTTCAGGCTTAAATGCAATATTTGGTATAGCTGCACGGTGTATGTCAAGCCAAAGGCTTCCACACAAGTTGGCCCCTTTACATTACACTGACCATACAATAATCTAAAGGGCTGACATGCTTAAATGAATTGCCCCGATACTCTAAACAAAAAACTGGGATGAGAGGAAAAACCTTGCACCCAGACGCTGGTAGGAACCTGGAAGTCACTGCCTGTAAGCGTGTTAGAGGCAGAAACCCTGGCAGCACTGAAGATGTATTTAGATGTGCACTTGTGATGCCAAGCTGTACAAGGCTATAGGCCAAGCGCTGGAAAATGGGATGAGAGTAGTTAGGCGCTTGTTTTTGATCAGTACATACTCAATGGGATGAAGGGCCTTTTCTGTGCTAAAAATTTCTGAGAGTCTATATATTGTGAATAGTGACACTACCCTTCCTGTTTTCAATTGCCCCTTTTCCAGGATATCATGCCTGGGTTTCCCCATCAACCTCCCTCAAACGACTGCCACTTGAACCAAACGGAACATCCTGAGGCAACTCACTTCACTCACTGAAGAAGAGTCATCCCATTAATTCAGTTTCTTCCCCCACAGTTTCTGTCTGACCTGCTAAGTTTGTCCAATATTCTCTGATTATTCATCTTTTCTTGTTCACTTTGTTGATGGACGAAGTGTGTGCGTGTGAGAGAGAGAAACAGTGAGTGACTCTGTGTATGTTTGTGTGTGTGAGTCACTGCGTGTGTGTGTGTGTGAGAGACAGTGAGTGACTCTGTGTGTGTGTGTGTGTGTGTGTGTGTGTGTGTGTGTGTTGGGGACTAATGAAAATTATGGCAGGGGATTTAGCATTAAATTACGAGGAGGAGGGTTTTGCCGATTTGTTCATGAGACTGACCACTTTTTAGCCTTCTGTTCCAAAATTCCAGTTTTGCCCAATAACCATCTCAAAGGGTAGCACATGTGCAGACCTTAAGTGCATAAACCCGTGAGCAGATCAGAGGTAATGGAAGGAGATAATGGAAGGTTTACTCAATCACCACTTCAGTCCTTTTGAAGTTAAGGCTATAAGACATAGGAGAAGAAGGAAGCCATTCAGCCCGTCGCTCTGTCCTTCAATGCGATCAAGGTTGATCTGATAATCGTTAACTATACTTTCCTGCTTTTTCCCTACAGCCCATCGTTCCCTTACTGATTAAGAATCTTTTCATCTCAGTATCGAATACACTTAATTCCCCAGCATTGACAGCCCACTGTGATAAGGAATTCCAAGGAATTACTACCCTCTGGGAGAAGAAGTTCTTCCTTATCTCTGTCTTAACTGGGCAACTCCTTATACTGATATTATGCCTTCCAGTCTCCCACAGATGCTTTATTTTCAGCTTTAAATGTTACTTCCATTATTATGATGACCTATTTATAAGGTTTATCTGAACTGAAGTGGAAATGAGACATCTTTTTTCGGGGGTGATGGGTGTTGCTCTACTGAAGTTTCAAAGAGAAAAGTGCGCTTCAATTCTGACTTGAACAAACTTGCATAGGACCTAAGATACAGGAGGAGAATTAAGCTATTCGGTCCATTGAGTCTGTTCCATCTTGACTGATACATTTCTCCTTGTAACCCTTGCTTCCCTTACTAGTCAAGAATCTATCTGTCTCAAACACACCCAATGACTTGATCTCCATAGCCTTCTGCAGCAATGAGTTCCACAAGTTAGGGTTCTGTTCCAGGATTAGAAACGTCAACTAAGTGGACATAGATTTAAGGTAAAAGGGGTAAGTTTAAAGGAGATGTGAGAGACAAGTCTTTGACACAGAGAATGGTAAGTGCCTGAAATGAGCTGTCAGAGGAAGAGGTGGAGGCGGATACAATAGCAACGTTTAAGAGGCATATTGACAGATACGTGAATGGGCAGGGAATAGAGGGATACAGATTGCATGGAAGCAAAGTTTTTAGTTTTGAAAGGCAGTGTGTGTTGGCACTATCCCTGTGCTATGCTGTTCTTCGTTCTTTCATTCATCATGCTCTGGTTGAAAAAAATCCCTCCTCATCTCAGTTCTAAAAGGTCGTCCTTTCGCTCTGAAGCTGTGCCCCTGGGTCCAAGTCTCACCTACTTGTGGAAACGTTTTTTCCATGTCCACTCTATCAAAGACTTTCAGTATTCTGTAAGTTTCAATAAGATCACCCCTCATCCTTCTCAACTCCATCAAGTACAAACCCTGAGTCCTCAACTGCTCCTCATATGCCAAGTCCTTCATCCCCAGGATTGTTACTGTAACCTCTTCTGGACCCCCGCCAATGCACGCACATCCTTCCTTAAATACAAGGTCCAAAACTGCTCACAATATTTCAAATGTGGTCTGACCAGAGCCTTATGCATCCTCAGTGGTTAATCGCTACTCTTGACCGCTCAAACTGAATGCTAACATTGCATTTGCCTTTCTAATTGTCGACTGGACCTGCGAGTTAACCTGAAATAGGACTCCCAAGACCCTTTGTGCTTCTGAAGCCTTTCCCGGTTTAGAAAATAGTTACCGCCTTTATTCTTCCTGCCAACATGCTTGACACTTTCCCACATTGTATTCAATTGGCCACTTGTGTGCCCACTTTCCTAGCCTGTCCAAGTCCTTCTGCAGCCTCCCCGCTTCCTCAACACCACCTGTCCCTCCACCTGTCTTTGTATCACCTGCAAACCTAGCAGCAATACCCTCTGTCCCTTCGTCCCGACACTTGAAAGACTGTTCATCAGCTACTTACTGAGGCCAGGCTCTGCACTGAGCCAGAGTATTTACTGAGCAGTCCAGCAGATGCGTACGTGTTGAGCGAGTGTGATCCCTTTGACTGCAAGGAGAGGCTCAGGTTCTGTCGACTACTGGCACAACTCGAACCTGTGGATGGAGGTCACAGAGTGGGCAGTTACAATGCATCCTTCATGCAGGCGGAAAGAGTTTGCATTTATGTAGCGCCGTTCAACACAATTATAAATGCAAGATGTTCGAAGTGTAGTTGCTGCAGGAAAAGTTGCAGCTCAACTTTGAGCATAGCAAAGGAAGGAAGGTAAAAATCGTTTTGGGGGGTCACATTTGTTGACCAGAACACCATGGAGAGCTCTCCTACTGTTCTTCCATTCTCCACTCAAGAGGACAGTTTGAACCTCATTCTGGCATGGTACCTTTAAACAATAGTTCCCATAGCACACCGCTTCCTCAGCCTGGTTTATACACTCAGAGGTTTGACCCCAATCTTCTCTCTCAGGGGTGAAAAAAGCACAAGTTGAACCCAGGCTGACCCAGTGCCTACACTCAGATGCAAATCTTTCCACATTTGCTGCCTGTTGTTACAACAATAACCAAACTGAGAGACTGATTTGCGAAGCCATCTTGAATTCTCCTTTTACACATTGAGTCATTTTGATGACCTCAGTTAGATCACGCCTCAGCTTCCTAAAGCAAAGTTCATGCAGCTCGTCCTCAGAATTTAAACTTTTATATCTAATTACAATTCTGGTGAATTTTTCCGAGCCCAGTACACAAACAATATTGAACACGCCAGTCCGATCACGACCCTATCCAGCAGAAGCTAAACACATACATCTTATAATCACAGCTAATTGGTCCTTTAATCAGCTCTACACGCTTATACCCTGTCACTTCTTGTGACAGCTACAGCTCAGCAGTTACATTCGTACCATTAAAATAGCCTTGGGTTCAAATCCCATTCAAGAGCTTACTGTCATAGAGGTCTACAGCATGGAAACAGACCCTTCAGCCCAATTTGTCCATAACACCCACTTTTCACAATTAATCTAGTCCCATTTGCCTGCGTTTAGCCCATATCCCTCCATACTTATCCCATCCATGTACCTGTCCAAATGTTTATTAAGTGACAAAATTGTATTTGCCTCCACTACTGCCTTTGGCAGCCCCTGTTCCAAACACTCACCACCCTATGTGTGAAAAACTGCCTTTTTGGACCCTTCTGTATCTCTCCCCTCGCACCTTAAACCTATGCCCTCTAGTTTTAGACTCTCCACTTGGGGTAAAGCTACCTTATCTACACCTCTCATGATATCAGCCTCAAGTACAAATTCTCAACTGACGCTCCCAAGCAGATCCGAGGGAATGCTGCACTGTCAGAAGTGCCATCTTTCAGTCGAGACGTTAAACTAGAACTGCTGTTGGGCACAAAAGATCCTACTTTTTTTTACAAAAACACCATTAAAATCCTCCCTGAGTCCCGGCTAATATTTATTTCTCAATCAATATCACAAAAGGACCTAGTCATTACTCCTCAGCTATTTGGAAAGCTTGCAATGAACAAATTGACTGCTGAATTTCTTATACTTCAACACTGACTGCACTTCAACACCGTGTAATTTGCTGTAAATTGCTTTGGGACAACATGAGGCCATGAAAACAGCTGTATAAATGCAGGCTCCTGCTTTTTAAATATTTTTCCAACAAAGAGCAAAACATTCTGTTGGGAAATGGTCCCAAGACTACTGTTATGTAAAGCGTTTTTAACACTTACAAAATGTTCTGTACAACACCAAGAAACAAAACACCAGATGTTCTGATCCCCGGCAATGATAATTATCACTTAGCTGGATGAGTATGTGAAAAAAGTTCTCCATCTATTGATTTAAAACAGAAGCTGGGATGGGAAAGCGCTGATGCAGTGTTTGTGTTGTACTAGATACTCACTCGTGCAGTCAGCTTATGAAAAGAGACTCTTCAATCAGGACAGACACAATATTCATGTTAAAATCCCATTAGCGCTGTCTGATTGTCGAACAGAATTATATTTCACCAGCCACAGAAAACCACCTTAGGACAGTAAGGTAGTGTGCCATGCTACGTTGCCTCAGAAGTAGATCTTAGACCATAAGATAAAGGAGCACAATTAGACTATTTCGCCCATCAAGTCTGTTCTGCCATTTGATCATGGCTGATAGGAGAATGGGGTTTGAGAAACCTGCCTTCTCCCCATAACACGATCCCTTTACTAATCAAGAACCTACCTCTGTCTTAAAGACACTCAATGACTCAGCTTCCACACCCCTCTGCAGCAATAGACTCCACAGATTCACCACCCTCTGGCTGAAGAAATTCCTCCTCATCTCAGTTCTAAAGGATCATCTCTTCACTCTGAGGCTGTGCCCTCAGTTGTAGTCTCTCTTAACAGCGGAAATATCTTCTTCATGTCCACTCTATCCAGGCCTTTCAGTAATCTGTAAGTTTCAATCAGATCCACCTAAATCCATCAAAAACAAACCCAGAGTCCTCAGCCATTCCTCATATGACAAGCCCTTCATCCCAGAATCATTCTTATACACTTCCTCTCGACTCCCTCCAACTCCAGTATATCCTTCTTAGATACGGGGCCCAAAACTGCTCACAATATTCCAAATGCAGTCTGATCAGACCCTTATACAGCCTCAGCAGTACATCTCTGCCATTTTTTCTAGCCCTCTCAAAATGAATGCCAACAATGCATTTGTCTTCCTTCCTACCAACTGAATTTGCATGTTAACCTTAACAGAATCCTGAATTAGGACTCCTAAGTCCCTTTGTGCCTCAGACTTCTGAAGCATTTCCCATTTACAAAATAGCCTATGCCTCTATTCTTCTACCAAAGTGCATAACCTCACACTTCCCCACATTGTATTCCATCTGCCAGTTGTTTGCCCAATTTCCTAGCCTGTCTAAGCCCTTCTGCAGCCTCCCCTTCCTCAACCCTACCTGCCCCTCCACCTATCTTTGGGTCATCTGTAAAATTAGCACCAATGCTAACTGCTATCAAGGTGAAGATCATTTAGTTTTGGTTGTCTATGTACCTCGTCTTTTTGTTAGATTGAGCAGGCAGCATGCAGTTAATTGGACAAATAATTCAAACACTCAATCAGAGTACACTTTAATCATAGTATAACTACTGTGTGGAAGCAGGCCATTCAGCCCATCGAGTCCACACCAACCCTCTGAACAGCATCCTGCCCCTTATCCCTGCATTTCCCATGGCTAACCCACCTAGCCTGCACATCTTTGGACTGTGGGAGGAAACCGGAGCACCCAGAGGAAGCTGACACAGAAACAGCAAGAACGTGCAAACTCCACACAGACAGCTGCCCGAGGCTGGAATTGAACCCAGATACCTAGCACTGTGAAGCAGCAGTGCTAACCACTGAGCCACCATGCTGCCCCTTCTGGCCACTCAAGGGGCAGCCAAGTGCAAATCTCAATGTTTGACAATTTACTTCTAGAGCCAGGCTTGGCATTCAGAAACAATGCTGACCGCTGCTTCCCACTCGTAGATTGTAAGCCCAGGCCCTAAATTTGTATTCTTTTGAATTTGGAAGGTTGAGTTAACTGAGTGCTTGAAATCATAAAAAGTTGTTCACTCGGATTAACACACAGAAACTCATTCCTTGGTGGGAGGGTGGTGTTAGAGGAACCTCAAACTACAGGACATAATCTTAAAATCAGTGCTAATTAATGAAATTAAGATTTTTTTTAAATTAGCATAAATCTGGAATGCTCTGTCAAAAGACTACAGATGCTGGATTGATTAAAATCTTCAAACCTGAGGTTCAAAGAGTTTTACTTTAAGCTGAACTTGAATTTCCAAAAAGCATTTGATAAAATGTCACATCAAATGTTATTGCAGGACGTAAAAACGCAGGTGTAGGCATGTTTTAGCTCGAAGAGAAGATTAACTGGCTCTCAGGAAGCAGGGGCTAGGCACAAATGAGTCTTTTTCAGGTTGGCAAGATGTAATGACTGGTGTCCAATAGCAATCAATGCTGGGACCTCAACGGTTTACGATTTATATAAATGACTTGGATTGAGGACAGACAGTATTGTTGCCAAATTTGCAGGTGACACAAGGATATGGAGGAAAGTAAGCTGTGAAGAGGACATAAGCAGATTACAAAAAGGTATGGATAGGCTAAGTGAATGGGAGAGATCTGGCAAATGGAGTAGAATATGGAACATCTGAAATCTTGCATTTTTGTTGAAAGAATTAAAATAAAAGCATTTTATCTAAATGGAGACAAATTGCAGAGGTCTGAGATTGAGGAATGTTTTGATGAAAGGTCACCGGACCTGAAATGTTAATGCTGATTTCTCTCCACAGATGCTGCCGGACCTGCTGAGCTTTTCCAGCAATTTCTGTTTTTGCTTCTGAGGTAGAGGGATCTGGGTGTCCAAGTGCATGAATAATAAAAGGTTAGAACGTAGGATTGTTGTTGGACCAGAATTTATTGCCCATTCCTAATCGCCCGGCAGAAATGCCTTTTTGAATCTCTGCAGTCCATATGGTGTACATAACCCCACAAAGACAGCAAGCAGCGAATTCCAGGATTTTGACCCAGTGACACTGAAGGAAGGGCGATATATTTCCAAGTCAGGATGGTGAGTGTTTTGGAGGGGAACTTGCAGGGGGTGGCATTCCCATGTATCTGCTGCCCCTTGTGCTTCTGGTATTTGGAAGGTGCTGTCTATGGAGGCTTGGTGAAGCAAGGTGCAGCAAGTGACTAAGAAAACAATTAGAACGTTATCATTTATTGCAATGGGAATTGAATACAAAAGTAGTGAGGTGAGGTTATGCTTCAGTTATACAGGACACTGGTGAGACCACATCTGGAGTACAGTGTACAGTATTGGTCTCCTTATTTAAGGAAGGATGTAAAGGAATTGGAAGCAGTTCAGAGGAGGTTTACCAGAATAAGACCTGGAACGGGCATGTTATCTTATGAGACTAGGTTTATATTCACTGGAATTTAAAAATGTAAGAGGCAACTTGACTGAATCATGTATGAAGGGTCTTGACTGGGAAGATGTGCAAAGGATGTTTCATTCGATAGGACAATCTAGAACCAGAGGTCACTGTTTAAAAACCAGGGTCACCCATTTAAGACAGAGATGAGGTGAATTTTTTTCTAGGTCATGAGAATTTGGAACTCTGTTTCCACATTTCTTTTCATGGCAGGGAGGTGCAGGTGTTGGACTGGAGTAGACAAAATCAGAAGTCACGCAACACCATGTTATGGTCCAACGGGTTTATTTGAAATCATAAGCTTTTGAAGCGCTGCTCCTTCGTCAGGTGAAATGGAGGGAAGGGCACAGACACAGAATTCCAATTCTGACTTCTGATTTTGGTCATCTTTTAGGGCAGAAAGTATTTAAATATTTTTAAGGCAAAGGTAGATTCTTTGTAAACAAGGGGGTGAAAGGTTATCTGGAGTAGGCAGAAATGGGGATTTGGGGTTAGCCATGATCTTATTGAATGATGGAGCAGCCTTGAAATGACCTTATCCTGCTTCTTGTTTTTTATGTCCATAGGTTTCTTGGGACGTAAATGCATTGGAAACAATTCAGGGAAGGTTTACCAGATTGGAATGGGTGTGTTGCCTCATGAAGAAGGGATATGGAGCAAAAATGAGTAAATTAGGTAAAAGGAGCAGATTTGACTCATGATCCAGAGATATACGTTCAGCTATGGAACTTTAGACAATTCAATAAATCTGGAATAAAAGGCCAGAATTACTAATGGAGACCAGTGGATTGCCACAAATGAAACCAGTGTATTGTCATAGAAATCCAAATTGTTCACAAATTTTTTTTTATGGAAGGAAACTGCCATTTTTGTCTGATATGGCCCACATGTGATTCCAGACTCACAGCAATATGGTCACATAACTGCCCTCTGAAATTGGGCTTAATGGCATCGAAGGTATTTTCACGTCTGGTAAAATTTGGCCCAATGTCTATCACTTCAGTGTAATTAGTATCTAGTTGCTGTCATGCATCTTGTTTAATACAAGAGCCCCTTCTCTTTGACTGCTAAGTGAACTTCTGTCACATTAGACTCAAGCAGGGCCTATCCTGAAAGATGATGTTGGCAGGAAGTCTACCAAATGATTCATACAGAGGAGCCGTGGTGAGCATGTCTTACAGCATGTTTGTCAGCCATTCTTAGTTGCCCTGGCGAAGATGACAATTTTGGTGAGTTTTGTGGAGGGTGTCTCTCTGTAAATGCTAGCAAGTATTTTTGTCCTATCTTCCCAAACTCCTCTCATTACCTTTGCATCACAACTCTGCGGCACCCCACTCATCACACCTTCTGGCTTGTCACTGCCGGGACCTCCCAGGATTCCTAGCACCCGGCGCCATCTTTGAAGCCCAGCCATGCGCTCAGATGAGCACTGACTAATGTAATGCCCTTCTTGGTGCCTGTCAATTGCCCCCAACATGTCAGACAGAGGGAAATTGGCACCTACTTTGCCAAGAGGGTCCCAGAGGTCCTGGATATCAGGTGTGCATGTGGGCTTTGCCCACACCCCAGATGTTAGACTAAAAGACCATAAGAAGGCGTTCAGCATGCTTGCCTTCATTGCTTAGACCTTTGAGTGCAGGAGTTGGGACGTCATGTTGAGGTTATACAGGATGTTGGTGAGGCCTCTTCTGGAATACTTTGTCCAGTTCTGGTCGCCACATTTTAGGAAGAGTATTATTAAGCTAGAAAGGGTTTAGAATCGATTTACAAAGATGTTGCTAGGAATGAAGGATTTGAGTTATATGGACAGGCTAGATAGGGTGGGACTTTTTTCACTGGACCATAGGATCATGAGGGGCATAGATAAGGTGAATGGCAGGTGCCCTTTCCCTAAGGTGGGGGATTTCAAGACTAACAGGGTATATTTTTAAAGTGAGAAGAGAAAGATTTAAAAAGGACATGGGGGCAACTTTTTTATACAGTGTGGTTCATGTATGGAATGGACTTCCAGAGGAAGTGGTGGATGTGGGTACAGTTACAAAGTTGAAGACACATAGATAAATACAAGAATAGGAAATATTTGGAGGGATAAGGGCCAAGCGTAGGCAGTTGGAACTAGTTTAGTTTGAGAACATAGTCGACATGGACTGATTGGAACGAAGGGTCTGTTTTCGTGCTGTATGACTCTAAATAGGAATAGGAGTAGGCCGCTCGCTCCTCAAGCCTGCTCTGCCTGTCAACGGGATCAGAACTGATCTAATCTGATGTTGGTGACTGGTATCCAAGATGGAGGTCCAGAGGGACAAGGAGCGAGCTCGAGTTGCTGGGGAACCCATTGACTTTCAGGCAAATTGTCGCCATCTAGTGGGAAAATGGAAAAAAAACTGCATTTCAAAATGAGGCAAAATTATGTAATAATGAAGAAACCAAAGAACAGTGGATGCTAGAAATCAAAACCAAAAAGAGAAATTGCTGGAAAAACTCAGCAGGTCTGGCAGCGTGTGTGGAGAGGAAACAGAGTTAACTTTTTGGGCCCTTCTTCATGACTGTAATAACAAGATTTTTATGCATACTGATCCATGTAAACACTGCTCACTGGTGAGAATATCATCTCGCCATTCCACCCTTGGCCGTTGGGCATTTTTGCTCTTGACATCAATAAGGTCCTCACAGCTCATCTCACATGATTCTCCAAACTTTCTCGCCAATGTCCTTGTACAGTGGCTAGGAAAATTCTGGCCTCCTTGTCGCAGAGGCCATGAGAAAGACCCAGATGACAAACTTAACTCCTTCAAGATCTCCTCACTAAGTCCCTATAACAGCAGACAGTGCCTGAGGCATTAACCCTTTTCAGATCCTTACACACTTATACAACAGGGCAATGGCCTAGTGGTATTATTGCTGGACTGTTAATCCAGATAATGTTCTGGGCACCCAGGTTCAAATCCCGCCATGGCAGATGGTGGAATTTGAACTCAATAAAATGTCTGGAATTAAGAGTCTAATGACGACTGTGAGTCCATTGCCGATTGCTGGAAGAAACACCCCCCTGATTCACTAATATCCTTTGGGGAAGGGAAACTGCCATCTTTGGCTGACCTGGCCTCCATGTGACTCCAGACCCACAGCAATGTGGTTGACTCTTAACCTCCCTGTGGGCAATTAGGGATGGGCAATAAATGCTGCCCTGGCCAGCAACACCCTCCTCCTGTTAATGAATAAAGGAACAGCCCACATCCCTTGGAATTAATTAAGAAGAAATGGAGTTGAAGTACAGATTAGCGGTGATCAAACTAAAATGGCGAAACAGATTCAGGGGCCTGAATGGTCTTAAACAGTTCCTATCCCTCGGCACATCACAAGAATACATTCCAGAAAGGGAAGAAGGTGGGAAATTCTTTATAACCTGCAATGTAACTCCAGCACAAAACACGAAGATGTAAAAAGAGTGGAATGGGTGTGTTGTCTTATGAAGAAGGGATATGGAGCAAAAAATAAGTGAAGCAGCAGAGTTGACTAATGAGCCAGAGATATACATTCAGCTGTGGAATTTAAAATTAGGCGATTACATAAATCTAGAATAAAAAGTGGATTGCCACAAATGAAACCAGTGTATTGTCATAAAAATCCAAATTGTTCACACATGTTCGTTATGAAAGTAAATGTAAAAAGTACTGTTTAAAAAGAAGTGTCTCCATTAACCTTTCTCTGACGCTGCTGTCCTGGAAAATTCAGGTATGAAAAGCTCCTGCTCCCATGGCAACTGTTCTTTCTCTGTCTCCTCCTCCTGTTTCTTCTTCCCACGCTTTCGTTTTAACTGGTGAGCCAAAATAGCAAGCGAAGCAGCGCCCACAACAGAGATCAGCAAGAGTTTCCTCGCAAGAGGAGAGAGCTTTACCTAAGGAAGGCAAAAAATATTTACTTGTAAATTTATTCTTTATTAACTGCACGATTCAAAATAATGACCTTGCAGGGCATCACTGTAGCCACTCCTACAACATTGCAATACAGTATGTTTTTTCATTATTCATTCACAGGATGATGGCATTGCTGGCCAGGCAGCATTTATTGCCCAACCCTAATTGCCCAGAGGGCAGTTAAGAGTCAGCCACATCTGGAGTCACATGTAGGCCAGACCAGATAAGGATGGCAGCTTCCTTCCCTAAAGGACATTAGTGAACCAGATGGGATTTTCTGACAATCGACAATGAATGTGTGTTATGGGCCATTTTCTGATCTGGTTCTTCTTGGGTCCCTGCCGGTTTGGGAATGCAATTTGTAAACCCAGATGTGCCTCGAAGGAGGAAATTCCCTAATATGGACTTCTATCAGATCTTGTATTTCTTTGTTTCTTCTAATTGCACAGTAATAGTAGTTTTTAAAAAGACTCAAACTTCCAAGAGCACTCTTTGTTATAGTGCAGGGACAACAATGGTAGGTCCTTTGGCCCAAAGTATTGGATGTTCTTCTCCATATCCTCACACCTCACCTGTTTTAAGACCCACTAGTGAGATCAGGCTTTTTGATCTGCTGTCTTTCTTTGGCTCAGTATTGACCCTTGTCTACTTATCCCTTTCTCAAGCACCTCGGGACATGTTGCCTGGAACAAAATTGCTTGAAAGGTTTTGATTGAGGGTATAAGGTGAAATTGAATGCACGGGGCCAAAGGTGTAAGGTTGTTTTGACATGGAAAGTAACGCCTCAGGTGTGGTGTAAGTAGACTGAATACAAGCTTGTCAAGAGAAAATTGGGAAAAGCGCTTGAAGGGGAGAAAATTGAAGGCCTATGTGGAATAAATATGGGAGTTAACCTACGACTTTATAGAAGAGCTAATGCAGGCATGATGGATCAAGCAGCTCGTGCTGTTCTGTAAGATCTTACAGTATGATTCATGTTGGCAAAGGTGAAGTTGGTGGTTAAGATGTCAGTGAAGTTGGTGAAACAAATAGGGCAAGACCAACATCTCCCTGGCTTTATCACCATTCAATCAATGACTTTACTGATCTGTACAGCTTAACTACACAATGTGCAGCCGAGCAGGGTAACAATTCATTCAAAGAAAATGCCATCTCTGAGAGGCAACAACAACTGAAGAACACAGTAACTTGAGTCTCCCTTGAGCCTGTTCCATCATTCAATGAAGTCATGACTGATCTGTGACCTGACTTCACTTGTCCTATATTCCTGGACATCTTTGGTTACAAAAATCCATCAGTCTCGGTTCTGAAATGAATAATTGATGGAGCCTCAGTGCCGCTTGCAAAGAAAGTTCCAAACATTTACCACACTTATTCACAAAATGTACACATTTGTTACAAGGCACTTTTAAATTTTAAATGAATTCTTGTTGATTGCATTGTGCTTCAAAGCAGTTATTAAATATTCAACTGATAAACAGCATCCGGGAGTAGCAAATCTTCTACCTCCTTCTGTTAGGTTGACGTTGCTTTGGTCTACGCTTCACAAAACTCCCATCTCTTCTTCTAAAGCAACAAGATGAAGCAGCTACGTTGACATGGCAGTCCATCCACCACCTTCAAACATTTATTTTGAGTACCATTAATGCTCAAAGGCAGCAGTAACACATTGACAAGATGTGTTTCGACAAATTGCCAAGGCTCTTTTGACAGCACCTTCTAAGCCTGTGCCCTATCCCACCTGGAAGGACAAGGGCAGCAGATACATGGGAACACCGTGACCTGCCCAGTTGCCCTCTTAGCGACACACCAACCTGACTTGGAACTCACTGTTCTGGGTCAAAATCCTAAAATTCCCTCCCTAACTGCACAGTGGGTGCCTCTACACCCTGCTGGTTCATGGAGGGTGTTCAACATCGCTTTCTCTACGGCAATTGGGGATAGGCAATAAATACTGGTTCAGCCAGCAATGCTTACATTCCACAAATGCATAAAACAATTATTCTGCACTGCACACTTGGGCTCCTCCCTACACCCTGACTGAGTAGTAAACATGATCCATCATATCCAGGGTTGACGATGGCCGAGTGGTATTATTGCTGGACTGTTAATCCAGACACTAAGATAATATTCTGGGGACCTGGGTTCAAATCCCGCCATTGCAGATGGTGGAATTTGAATTCAATAAATATCTGGAATTAGGAATCTAATGATGACTGTAAATCGATTGTCAGGGAAAAACCCATCTGGCTCACTAATGTCCTTTAGGGAAGGAAACTGCCATCCTTACCTGGTCTGGCCTATATGTGACTCCCAGACCCACAGGAATGTGGTTGACTCTTAAGTGCCCACTGGCAATAAATGCTGCCTAGCCAGCGACACCTCTTATCCCGTGAATGAATTTTTAAAAATACACACACCCACTTTAATTCTTTATTTCCAAAAATCCCAAAACACTCAACCGGTGAGAAAATTAATTCCCAACTTCCCAAGTCTACCCTTCCTCCCTCAGGCTTACAAAACACAAGCTTGGTATCAGCTAATTTAAATCCTCATAATTTAACTTGGAGACTCATTCTGATGAATATGTGTTGTTTCTGCCCAAAGCCAACATATCCTTCCTAAGGTAGAGTGCCCAGCACAGCACGGAGTACTCCCAGAGGAGTTTAACCAGAGCTTTATACAACTGCATAACTCAGTCAATGATTTAAGAACTCCAGACCAAAGATCACAACATTATGACCAGAGTGAGGCCTCAGATATCAGCCAGCAGTCCTTCATGCAAAGGACAGTGGAAATCGGTTGCTCTGGCTTTGCAAAACATTTAGGGAGTAAATTGAAAGTTCATGTGTCTACCAAGATACGCCTCAAACGTTGCTAACATGTCTGCTTCCACCACTTCCACTGGCAATGTGTTCCAGGCACCCACCATCCTCTGTGTGAAAAATTTTCCCTGCACTTCTCCCCTAAACTTTCACCCTCTCACCTAGAACCTGTGCCCTCTTACAGTTGACTTTTCCACCCTTAAGAATCCTATCTGTTTCAATGAGATCACCTCTCAGTGAGTAGAGTCCCAACCTGTTTAACCTTTGCTCATAAGATAATTCCTCCAGACCAAGGATCATTCTAATGAACCTTCTCTGAACTGCCTCCAATGAAATAATATCTTTCCTTAACCAGAGGGACCAAAGCTGCTCATACAACTCCAGGTGTGGTCTCACCAGTACCTTGTACAGTTACCGTAATACTCCAATCCCCTTGGAAAGGACCAACGTTCCATTAGACTTCCTGATTACCCACTGTACCTGTGTGCTAGCTTTCTGCGTTTCGTACACAAGGAACCTCAAGTTCCTTTGTGTTAACATTTTTCTGCAGTTTTTCTCCATTTAATATTATGCTGTTTTGTTCTCACTTCCAAAATGAAAAATGTATACTTCATTTGCTAACTTACTTAACGTATCAAAGTCTACTGCCTGTATCCTCTTGCAACCTGCCATTAGCTCTAACACAGATCTTTGTTCTTTCTTCCCTTTCCTCTAGTCTTTATCTCTCGCTTAAGGTAGAATGCTCAATTGATAGTCACCAAACCATAAATAAAAACCGAAAGACCTGCGGATGCTGTAAATCAGGAAGTGTCACTCGACCTGAAACATTAACTCTGATTTCTCTCCACAGATGCTGCCAGACCTGCTGAGCTTTTCCAGCAATTTCTACTTCTGTTTCATAACTTGTGCTATGCTCCCACCACAGAGTAGGGTGAGGAGATAGATTCCAGGAATACTCCAGCCAACATGCATTGATCCCCATGCTGTAGGTACTTACACTGTACCACAGCCAGCTAACTCACCACTGCAGCTACAGATTGCCTTTCTGCTACTTGCTTAAACTCATTACATCTGTAACATGTTTCAGTTCAGCTGAAACTTCCTTGGCGTGAACAATTAACTGGTTGTCTCTCCACTGATACCAACTCACCTACAAGTTCCAGAACCTGTTTGTTTTCCCTCTAGATTTCCAACATTTGCAGAATTTTGCCTTATGGTTACATCAACAGCACTTCCCACTGCTACGACCTCTGAATGCCACAGTGGAAAAAAGAAGCAATATTGTGGAGATACCGTCACCTCTGGGTTCACCTCCAGCTCACACGTCATCCTGACATGGCCATACAAAACTATTCTTTCATCATTGGGAGCTAGATCTGTGAAATTCCTGACCTAATGTCATTGTGGATGCACCATCACAGAAATAGCTTTTCCATCAAACTCACAGGGCAACTAGGAAAGGGCAAATAAACTGGCATTGTTGCCCACATTTCGTGAGCACATGTAAAAATTTACAGTTCAATGTTTTAAACTCGCAGCAAAGCAATTTATGGAACAATTCAAAAAAATTCACAATGCAAGGCAAGTAATTGTAATACATTTCTATGTTGACAAACTCTGCAAATATTGACACACTTCCAGGGACCCTTTGTAAATAAATCCTCGAGATGCCTTGGAACAGACTGACACACTCCCAGAGACCATTGTACTTACTGACAAACTCCTGGAGACCCCCATGTAAATACTGACACACTCCCAGGGACCCCCTGTAAAAACCAACACACACCAGAGACCCCTGTAAATACTGACACACCCCCAATCAACCACTGTAAATACACTCACACTCCCAGAGACCCTCAGTAAATACTGACACATTCCCAGAGACCTCCATTAAACACTGACACACTTCCGGGGATCCTCTGTATATACCGACACAATCCCTGCTTGTTTTTACCCCAGATTTCCAGCATTTTGCCTTATGACTACATCAACAGCACTTTCTACTGCTACGACTTCTGAACACGTGATGAAAAAGAAAAGCAATATGGTAGAAATACTGTCAACTCCAAGTTCACCTCCAACTCACACACGATCCTGACATGGCCATACAACACTATCTTTTCATCGTTGGTAGTTGGATCTGTGGAATTCCTGACCCAATATCATTGTGGATGCACCATCACAGAAAGACAATAGTTTTTCCACCAGATTCTCATGGCATGAGCACACCTAAATATTTACAGTTCAATGTCCTAAACTCATAGCCAAAGTGATCTATGGAACAACTCAAAAAAATTTCACTTCGAAGGCAAATAATTATAGTATGTTTCTATGTTGACAAACTCTGCAAATACTGACATACTACCAGGGACACTTTGGAAATAAATCCCAGAGATGCCCTGTACATACTGACACACACCAAGAGACACCCTGAAAATACTGACACACATCCAGGGACTCCCTATAAATACTAATGCACACTCCCAGAGGCCTCCTGTAAATAATGACACACTCCCAGGGACCCTCCGAATATACTGACAAACTCCCCAGGGTCCCCCTGTAAATACATACACTTATAGGGACCCTCTAGAAATACTGTCACACTGTCAGGGATCCTCTGTAAATACTGGCACAATCCCACAGATCCCTTGTAAATACTGACACACTCCCACAGACCCCTTGTAAATACTGA